AAATTATATATATGATACGTAAAAATCCTGAAGCGTATCATCAACCGCGCACCGTTAGCGTTGGCAGGTGTATTGCGTTGGTATTTTCACGCGCATAACGAATTAACTGCAGCAGGTCGTCGGGAGCGAGAGGGCGAGCGGGTGGGCAGGCCGGTCAGGCAGCGACGGCACTGCATGATTTAAAGAACGAGAACCGAAATCCAGTTGCCGCCTCCGGTCGTGTCCCCCGTGGCCCCTTGGACGAACAATTCCCTACCGCACTACCGCTGCCGCTCAACACTCCGCCACCCGCCGTCCATCGCGTTTCGCCAAACGACTGCTACATCATACTCCTAGGCGGTCGTCAACGACGTCGTCGTTCTACATTCTACGCGCGCGCCACATCCGTAGCACCGATGATGTAGTATTTAGGTCACCTTCACACGCGCGGACAGGAGTAAAAAAAATCTAGTGCCACGTCCGATCCCTTGCGGCGGCTGTCCCCCTCAATTGGATTCCCGAAAATTATTGGGTTGCGGCGCGGGTGCGGAGTCCGTGGAAAAGTCCGGGGTACACCCCAGACACGAAACATTAATACGATCGGAAAAATAATATTGACTTCAAAATAATTGCAAAATACGTTACCTTTGCGTGATGCAGCAGCTATCCGTTCTGGGCGAAGTCTGATTATGTGTCTAAAGTCACTGCCGAGTGACGACGACGACGACGACTAATGCGGTGCCATTCACGATTACGTGCGCGGGCGGGAAGGTAGTGGTGGTGGTGGTGATGGTGGCGGTGGCGGCGGCGGTGTGTCGTCACTGTCGTGCGGCGGGGCCCCTTACATAACTGGCCCACGTCCAAAGTCGGCCATTTGCAAGAGCGTGGATATCCGGCAGCAGTGGCCACCCGGACGTGGACAGGGATGACGGTGGACCAGGTCTGTAGTACGCACGACAGACGGACCGGCGGGCAGCTGCAGCCGCAGGAGCACCCGTGAGCTTGGATATCCGGCACGGACGACGGGCGACGGGTGATGGGCACGGTGTAGCTTCGGGTTCAGACCCAAAAACGGGACATTAGTCCGACGTCGTGGACACAGATGCGCGGATCACCGGAGCACGGCGCCCAAACACGGTCGAGAAGTCGCGAAACCGAATGACATATTATTACTAACTACTTTAACCTTTTTTTCCCGTCGGCCGTCAGTACTCTGTAAACCGATGTAAACGGAACCACGATTCCACGATACGGTCGACAGGATAGACGAGGGGAGAGAACCATTAGAATTTAGAGCTCGTACCAACCGAACCCCGCGCCGACGGATGTGTCTCCGGCCTATGGTTGCGCACCACTGGACCCGTCACAGTGTGACCAACAGTTCCGCCGCTGTAGCAGTTAGGGGCTGGTACAGATTTCCCGATTTTGATAACAGCAGATATCATCAAAATCAAAATTCGGGAGATCAGTTTAGCCAACATTGAAAAAATAAAATTCCCGCATAAGATATTGCTTTTTTTTACCCGACCAACTTTGCCAACATAAAAATACTAAAATCCTTTTTATTAAAATTAAACGACAAACATCAAAATCAATTCTCGACCAACGTCGTTTACACTGATATAATCATAGAACAATATATAATATGGCCAATATAGGTATCATTTCAGTATTGTAACGTCATTTGATAATCATAATTGGATGATCAATTTGGAATCACGTCGTGGTTTTTACTGTTTTTAGTTTTTTACTTTAAGATTTTTATATTGACCATTGATATGGGCGCAACTAAGGTAAAAATGTATGGAAGTGCTAAAAACTAAAGCACAACATTAGAATCTTCCCTTTTAATGATAAGCAAAATTATTATACACATATATGTAATGTATTTATTTAATAATATTAGTAATAATCACGATTAAAGATAGTATATAGCATGATACATTTAATTTAATTTATCATGGWATATAGATACTATCTTTAATCGTGGTAATAATAATTAATAATAATAAAAATAATAGGTTAGTTATGAATTATGATAAATTCATTTTCCAATTATTAGGCAATGCAGACTTATTTAGATTACTTTCTGTATCTATATCTTATTGGCAGTGTCTCTTTCAATAGATATTGAAACTAGATTTTTAAATAAACTTTGTTGCATGCTTGTTTTAAGCCAATTCTTCATTTTAATTTTAGTTCAAGATAAAATTACCGCAATAGAAAATCGTTAACTGTAAGGATCCAAAATCTAAATGTGGCAGGTCCGCGAAACCACGTTAATATGCAAACGTATAAAGTTTAATGCAGCGTCACCCCCGACTATGTCATCAAGTACAAAATACAGTATTACAGTGGTGAATACAGAATGTCAGATGACAGACACGTATTAATACAAAAAGATAAAAGTACCAAAAGTCAAGACTACTCAGATAGGCAGATAGCAATATTGTTTACAATACGTATATAATTTATAATTTTTTAAATCATCATCCATAACTTATTAAATCTAATTAWATTATAAAATTATTTATTGTATTATGCTAACAGTAAACTCTCGCTTCACCACATCCCTCTATCAATAAAGCATCACTTATGATCGAGCGGTGGCGAAGCGCGATAATAGTCAATAGATACTCTTACCAGTTAGGTACCAATTACCATGGGCGGATAGGCCTACCGCGGGCAACCGGGAATTTCCCGGTGGGCCCCCTTCGTATTTTGGTAGTGTGGTCCTTTAATGTCATATATTATTAAATTCTTTTTCATGAGGGGCCTCTTTTAAAAATTTTCCGGTAGGCCAAAAATGGCCTATCCGCACATGCCAATCACATACTGCTAAGATCATAATATTGACAATTGTTGAACGTTTTTCGGGTAGGCTAGGAAAACCATTTAAAAATAAAACCTTCTGGTTCTAAAWACGTATTTGTGACTTATGTACACTATACGCCTAGCCAGTGGCGCACAGTAGATTTTTCACAAGGGTGTCGAAAATATATATCTCGCGGTACCCACCCACCCACAAGGCGGCCTAGCGGGACTACAATAATAAACCAAATACGTATTTGATGTTTCCATTGACCATTAATTTCTATTATAGATTAAAATAACTTCACCTGTCGATAAATTAAAATTATAAAACTGGAACTTTTATCCCGAGTTTTACTATTACCACAGTGTTTTTTATTGTTAAGAACTTGAGAACTTACCGAAATTTGAGAGTGCCACAATTGTTAAAACTTTGTTTATAATAATGGTCATTATCTCCTTGGGAATTGAATGTAAAGTGGATTGTAAAAACACGGTCTAGGTGTAAAAAAATTTCGATYTTCAAGAGATGTAGAGGTTTTGAATTTTATTTTTGTCTGTCTATTTTGTTCAAAATAATTATTCTTAATTATCTTCCAATTCTTCCACAAAATTGATAATATTTATACAACAATAATCATCAACCCAATAAATTGTTTAACTCAGATTTAAAAATATGCTCGCATAATGTTTTAAGCCTAAAGTAGGTCTAGAAGGATTTAAATTGCTACGTTGCTTTTGAATAATACGTTTAACAAAACTTTCGTTTGGTATGTTCATTAAAATTTCATCCAAAAGATCACCAAGCGCCTCAATAAAAATCTAAATTGATTTATGATATGATAATTTAGCAAGATTTTGTATGTTACATTTGAACTGATCTACTTCCTAAATATTCTTATCACTGGCATGATTATTTTGCTTTATTAATTTTGGATTAGAAATGTATTTTAATGCATATAACACTGAWTCACACTTGCATTTAATTTTCATGCTACATTTCCATCTTAAATTATTTTTTTGCTKATGTTGTATCGTATACAGATCCGCCGAACACTATTTTATTTACATTATCACCATTTGTTTTTAATTAAAATATTTCACTCTTTAGTATTTRGATTCCCAAACACTAATAAAAACATTGAATTTCACAAAATGTACAGTTACAGAGTTTAAGTTAGAATACAAAACATCRACCGAGATTTTGGTCAAATAACCAAATAACCCAAGGTATTTCACTTCTAAAATAAAACATTAAAACATAAGTAAAAATAAAGTGTAATAAATTTGTTATTTACAACCTTCCATTCAAAACAATCATCTATAACATATATATATAAATGGGTTACAATATATAGTTACTAGTTGGACTACTATATATAATTATTGCTAATACTGAAAAATAATAGTCCCCAACAATTAATGATGATATAATAATATTATGTATATTTCTAAATATGTTAGGTCAATAAAATKAGTAATGACCAATTTAATATTATCAATATAAGTAATATAACTATAAATTAAATGCCAATGTATAGTATTAAGTCCAATAAGCACTGTAATACTGTATGCGAGATGCGACTAATAAAAAGAGTTTAAAACTGATTTGAAATTTAAAAATGAAATGTTGTATCTCTTTTTACTCCCGAATCCCAACCTCTTATATTCTATAGGTATATGTATATCACATAAAAGTATAATATTGTGTACATAAACATGTAGTTAACTGTTAACTTATAAATAAATATATATAATAAATAAACCGGACTTTCGTGACATCGGACATTTATTCGAGGAACTTTTTTTACCGGACTTTTAGATGGAATTCCGCTCGCGAGATAGCGTCAGTGGTACGAATGGTAAATGATAATTATTTATTTATTCTGTGGTTGTGTTTTCAATTTGTCATGTGTTTATATTATCAATGTTAGATAATATATAAAGCATAAATGTTTTTTTTTATTAATTTAATAAATTATCGGAAAAATACTGAAATACTGAAATAGGCTGATGCTGATAGTTGAACATCGCAATTCCCTCAAATCTTAATAGTCAATAGTTGACTTGGAACTTTGCGATTAAATTAAAAGTTATAGATTTGGCCTTCRATTTCAAGGGCTCAAACTAGTTTAATGTAGGTATTTTGTAGTTTACTTAAAAGTTAATTCGTTTTACCGTAATCATTAACAAGTAACAACACTATAATATTTCAACCTTGAAATTGTATAATCCAATAATAATAATATAAAGATTGTGAATGCAGATATTTAATACTATAATAATGAAGTACTACTTTGGTAGTTGTATTTGGTGTTAATACAGTAACCATGTAAATGAGTGGGAAGAATTGAAGAACTGTAATTCTTGACTTATCGAGTTAAATAAAACAGTAAGTTATTTGCATACCGTTGGTGATAAATTATGTAGGGTTAATTTTTATTAATTTATAATTATGTAGTTATGGCGTTAGTAGAAGGATTTGGAGATGAAGTTATTCAGTTTTTTGGTATACTCTTTGTTGTTGTTCTAATTGTATTGCTATGGATGTCTACACAAGTGGCAGAAATGCAAATATTCCGTGGTGCTGTTTTCATTTTGGAAAGGCGTACAAGAAGACGACATCATGATGCTAATAGGACTACACC